AATTTTATTCTTTTTCCTCCACTCCAGGATTTTGGTATCCCTGAATTCTTACCTCTTTCTTTCTTGAGCATAGTACAACTGCTGCTTTATATTTGAGCTCTGTTGTTCTGTGGCACAGTTTGGAAAATGTCTTCAGGGAAAAAAGGCTGGGGTGAATGTAAAGCCCACCTTTCAGTGATTATAGCCCCTCAATTCCTGTCTGTTGTTTTACATATTTTTTTCAGGTTTTAAATTGTTTTTGGAGGTGAGATCGTCTGATATTAGCTACGGCATTATAATCGGAACAGAGTCTCACTTTCATTTATTATGTAAACTTTCACTTAATCTCCCAGATCGTAGATGGTGTTTCCATTCTCAGCTGTGCCTGCTATGCCCAATCTAGGGATACCTCAGTCTTCTGCCAAGATGGGGGAGGGGTGGTTACCTGACTGGGAGAGGTGGAGGAGGCAAACTGAGTGTCTGACTGCTCCTTACACAGGCTTTTCCGCAATTCTGTTTTAGTCCTGATGTTATCCTCTCTCTCAGATGCAGCTGGTACTCCCGATTATTGAGCTAGTTTGCGGTAGGACTTGACTTGTTTCTGACCTATTTCCCACTGCTGGCTTAGAGCGCAGTTTTCTATAGTCTGCTAAGTCAGTTGCTGCTTGTTCATGTGTTTGCGACCTTCCAGAATTGTATTGCTGTTGCCTTCGTTCCTGTTTTTGATCCCTTTAAAGTCATGTTAGTTAGGTTTGGGGAAGAAGTAGAGGTCAATATGTATGTTCAATCTGGTATGTTTAACTCTAAGTTGCCATTTATTTTTTTTACTTTTTAAAGAATTATGCTAAAGAAAGTGTTGTCATGACTTCTTTTGATTTTTTGATGGAAAGGCTTTGGCCATATTTTTCCATCATTTGTATTCTTTGTGGCTAACAATACAATTCTACACAGTGTTGAAGTTTCTTATGTTCTGTCCTACTTTTTTAGTTTCTTCTCCTTCAGTCATAGACTATTAGAGTTGGTAAGATCTTTAAGATAGCATTATGTTTAAATTTTTAGTGTTTTTAGATAAAGAAAACTGAAGGCCAGAGAAGTCAGCTGGTTAGCTTTTGGTTTTGTAGCTAGTCTCTTCTCTTGATCCTGAATTCATTGCTTTATTTGTTATATCACATAACTCTTTGAAAAATTCACATTCTGATCTTCAATATCAGATATATATTATAGAGATTAAACTGATATAATTGTTAGAGACCTTAAGAACCTGTAGAGTGAGTCAGGTTGGTATTGTGATTTTCATTTGATGTTGGAAGCTGAAGCATAGAAAAGGCACAAACCTTTATTTATAATTTGAGTTTATTACAATAAGGTAATTAAGGCAGGATTCTTATGTTCCTTCAGTTATATGTTATGATAATTTTGTACGTGGAAGAGCATTTATGTGTGGTGGTACATTTTGTTATCTTTCATTTGGTTTGAAAAATTTTCTAGGATTGTAATTGAGTTGAGAAGTCTCATGACTAGGAAATAAGTAGCTTGATTAAATATGTTGTAAGACAGTGAAAGTAATCTATTTTTTCATGTTTTCTCCTTTACTCCCTCTAATGTACTTTGATTCTACAGAAAAGAAGAGCTTATAAGTTGTTCTGAAACTCATCTGCCACAGTCTTTCATTGTTCAGAAAGGTGTCTACGCTTGACATTATTT